ATAGAAAATTATTTTAGCTACCAGAAGAGCAGCTAAAAAAAAACATTTGACAGGCTTCACCCATCCTTCAAAAAAAATCCAAAGATTTTTCAGGAGAAAGAAGAGTTTGGAGCATTTGACAAAAAAAAAAAAAAAAAAAAAGACGACAAGGAGTTGCACTGGAAGGACCACGAGTCTTCCTCTTAACACCGAGACACTCTCCAGGGTATGGCTTGGTGGGGCTGGTGGTGCTTATCCTGTCCTGTAAATAAGGAACGTGTTGGGAGAGCTAACCTGGTGTGTGAGGGGGCTGTCAGAACAACGATGAAACGGGACCCATGGAAACCCACAGCCACAACTTCCAAGCGCTACATTTGAGCCCTAAACCTGTAATTGTTGCTGATCTCGTATATACGAGATCCACTCGAGTGGGGAACGCTCCTTCCCTCCTTGTGCTCAGGGGTTTTCTCACCCCTTTTTGCTTGGCTCTGAACACGGTGAGTACCTTTGATTCGTTCACCATCTCTGGTGCCTGCGTCAGGAAGGAAAAGGTGTTTGGGAAAACAGCATTTCAAACCCAGACTTTGCTAACCAGGAGGAGACACTTGTGTCTGCCAGGTGAGGACTGGTGTAATCATCGCTGTTTCACTTGTTATTTATTAAGTTCCAGCTGGGAGTATTGGCATTGTCTAAACCCTAAATAAGACAGTCCTTGCCCCAGTGATCTTTTAATAACTATTATTAAAACTATTTACCACGCCTGTGGCGTCCCGAGGAGCTCCACAGACCTGTGCGTACACTCGGCGTATACCGTGCCGGGTAAGGGGACCAGCTCTCTGCTGCACCGTGGGCAGCGCCAGATCTTCTAGGGAAGGTAGACCCTCCACTTTCACATGAAAGCCCAGCTATCTTTCAAATGGCAAAAGCAAACCAATTTAAGCTGAACTCTTTTGCCCAATCCTAGCTGGCTGCCTTGTTTACGTGCCCAGCGGCGAGGCAGAGGGTTAGCTGGAACAAGGACAACACCATGTCTCTCCTCTAGAGGTGGTCCCTCCTGGCGGGGGGATGGAGCCGTGGCAGTAATACCCTGCACTTCCGTATTGCCTTGCTTTGGAGGCTCTCCAAGGGCTTTGTGAGCATTAGGAGATTAGCGAGGTCTCTCCAGCCCCGCGGAGGCAGGGAGGGTTTGTTATCTCCGCTTCACAGGCAGGAGGGCCGAGGTCTGTCGCAAGGATGGAGGGAGCAGCGCTGCCACACTGGGCACCGCACGGCTCTAGGTTGGTGTCCTCGGGGGTACCCATCTGCCGCCTTGCACTGGCAACGTTTGTTTCTGACACTGGTGAGAACAAGCGGTGCTGCTGAGCCCGGCCCAGGAAGATCCCAGTTACCAAACCTGCTCAACTGTGCATGCTCCTCCTCGTCCGTTTGGTTTCTCCCCATGCACTTTGCTTTTCTGCTTGTGGCTGCGCTGGCAGCGCGGCAAACGTGGGGGCCGGGGAGCGCCGAGGGCGTGCAGGCAGCAGCGTACTGGCCTGTGCACGCAGGCTGGGCCAGCGGCTTTGGGGGGAAGGACGGCAGTGTTCAACCTGGCATCCTCAGGGTGCTCTCTTCTGCTGATCTATCCCTTCTAAAGCACAGAAACATATCCCGGGGTGAACTGCTGCGAGCAAGCAGACCATCCCCATTTGAAATTCAGGCGTTAGCCGTGCTGTGCCGCTGCAGGAGTATGGCTGCTGTCGGGAGGAGAAAATGAAGTTCCAGCGAGGCAGGGCAGCTGCAGCAGCATCCCTGGGGAATCTCCAGCCAGCAGGAAGCCACCGGGCTGGGATGCGGCCGGTAGTCATGCTCTCCAGAAAAGACCACAGGATCTTTAAGGACGCAAGTTGTCAGGGCTTTAATCTCTTACTCATTTCAAATCTAATTTCTAGTGGTCATGGCTGTAACGCAGTGCTGGGGCACTGGCTTAGCAAGGACCTGGGGAGAAAAACAGTGGCTCACCAGCTCTGTTGCTCTCCAGTAAATTAAGTTAATTAAAAAACCCCAGCAACTATAGTGTCTGTATCTGGACATGGAGTGGCAGGTAAGCTTCAAACCACCTTTGTGTTCTTTGTTTTCTAGTCCAGGTAGGGTCAGACCAGCCTCTCATATACATGAAGTTGATTGGGAATTATAATTCTGTTTCAGTAATTTTGATAATCAAAGCCTTTGAAATTTGAGGATCTGGAGTTTTTTTCCTACATTGGAGCAAACTGACAACCTTTTGCTGGTTTTCCTTATGGAACTGCGTTGAGATTTCCACTTCTGGATGGAAAGCTGTATGTTTTCCGTCTCTCTCTGTTCCCACTCTGTATGGAAGCAGCGATCCTTCCAGATCGCCAGCATCAAAACTGGTTTTGTGTTTTCAACAGAGAGGAAGAAGGATTGAATGAAATACTTTCCAGCCAGATATAAGTGATTTCAGCAGTCACTTTTGCTGATCTCCTGTGAGTACGTTGCAAGCCCTTGTAAGTACAAAGAGTTTCATTTTCCACCTCTCCTTAAATCCCTCTCTTGCTCCATCTCCCTGTCTAGCTTGTCGACAACATGTTTTCTACCTTGGCTCCTCTCTACGGTGCCCTGCTGACACAGGTAATTCCCTGTTGAGAGTGTTCATGAGATACCTTGTGGGGCAGGAGGTTTTCCTGTTCCATCGTGGGGTACTTGGTGCTCTTGGTGCTACTGGAAGTTGGGTCCTGCGTGTTTCAGATCGTTTATTACATAGAAAAGCCAGATGTACTAGACGGCAGATGTCAGATTTATCAGCTCACTTTAACGAGAGGCGAAGGGTAGCAGCAGCTCTTGGCCAGGTGCTTCCTGACCCAAGTACCGCCAGGCCCAGGGGAATAAGCTCAGTTGAGACTGGGAAGAGATTCCTGCAGCAGAGAGGGAGGGCTTGCACAACAGGCACAGACACGGAGTGCCACAAGCCCTGCAAACTGGTTCTGGCTCCCGCCTGAGCCCAGCTTGGCAGCGCAAAGGGGAAGGAAGAGCAGGAGGAGGGCTGGCGGCAGCGCCGGCCGCTGCCAGTTATTCCCTTTTATGGGCTGAAATGAGTCTGACCTGATCCTTGTTGGTGGAAGTGCCAGGTAGGCAGGCCCATCGTGTTTTGGAAAGCCCTACAAATGCCCAGCACAGCCTCTTCAGCTTTGCTTGTTAAGCTGTGCCTTGTTGCTGTGTGCACCCACGGTGCGGCCCCTCCTGCTCCCTCTCCCCCTGCCAAACGCCAGCATCGCTGGAGACGTGACTCTGCTGGGGACCTGTCACGCACAGGGTGCTTCGGGGGGATACTAATGCTCCTCTTTGTCTCTCTCAAACATACGTAGTCTCATGGTTTGGGGCAAGTATCATGTAACTACAAGGTACTGGAAAATTCCCACTTTTTTTGACCCCCAACCCCAAGGAAAACAATGTCCTGTTCAAAATGCATGGATTCTTTTTTAAAATTACTACATCCAAATGTATATTCAATATCTGTCTGGAAGCCTGTCCTTGCAGAGGAGAGGGATTTAAAGGCTTAGATAGTAACAGGGTCACTTGCTTTCCACTTTGATTGCTAAGGTTGCTCTGGGGCTCCATCCCTGAGTGATGACTGATGCTAGGACCCCCCCTCCTGTCATCCTAACCCTTGCTAGTGTCAAACCCAGTTGCAGCACAGCTCCTTTCCTTCCAGCTGGTCTCATGGGTCCTTACATCCTTATCTCTTGCAGGGAATGAAACTGGGTCATTATCTGAAAGGACAAAAGCCCCTCCGAGCACTCCGTGGAGGGCATGCTCCGGGTGAGCATGCGCCTGCAGAGGCGAGCCAAGGGCTGGGATGCTGCTGATGGGGCAGGTCCTTCCATGGAGGGAGAAAAGCTCCGGTGCTTGGGTGTGGAGCCTGGGGGCTGCGGCTGCTCTTGGACTTCTCTGGGCTCCTCACGGAGCCCCGGCTGGGGGGGCGGACTTTCCCTGGCTCCCAGGGAGGGCGGATGCTGTGGTGCGCGTTCCTCCTGCCGGTGATTCACCCGCTAACCCCACGCAGCCGCCATGGCTTCACCCACCGCTCGCCATCTTAGGCAGATGCCTGCTCCCTCCCCACGCCACCCCTCTGCTCAGTGGAGGGGGACATCAGCGCCGGTGGCCAGGGGCAGGGGGGCAGAAGGTGCCCCCTCGCTCAGCCTGCCCCGTATACCTCACCCCTGCCTGCCAGCTAAGGTTGTCCAACCCTGGGCTTTGTGTCCTGGGACAATTCCCACTTAACCAGTTAAATTCTCACCTCCTTCATTCTCAAAATTTGTTCAGTCTTGCCCCCCAGGTCCCAGAAACCCCTCCTGAGAGGCTGTGCTGTTTGGGGCTGGCTCCCGGGTGGTTCAAGAGCTGCCAATGCTGCTCCTTATGCAGCAGGGCCACGCGTGAACACAGGCTCGGCACCTGGGTGAACCCTGGTGAGGATTGCAGCCTGGAGTCGGGAAGGCTGAGCTGCAGACTCAGCTCCATCTGCTGCACCATATTTGTGACCACCCACAAAGATCCAGGCTACTCAACCTCTGCAGACTTACTAAGGAGCATGAAAACACACAGAAGCAATTAAGGATGTGATTCAGCCCACTCTTTTCTTTACTATATTGCTAATAACAGAAGACCCCAGCTCGATACTTGTACTCTGGGGCCGAGGTTTCAGGGCTGGCAGTAGGCATGCAACTGTTCATTAATTCCAAACTTCTCTGGAGTAGTTTAAACCCAGGAAACACAGATCTTTTCCTTCCAGGTAATGTCATGTGTACAAAATTAATTGCCATGGCACAACCACACTTTCAGAGATACTCTGCTATTTTTCCAAAGTCTCAGCACTTACTGTTGAAGCTGAACTTCCACCAGAAGCTGCTGAGCAGGGTAGACCAACCCTCGGGATCAGTGTCAGCTCTCATCTCTCCCATTACTCCTCAATCCTGCAACTTTGTTCTGATCATGAGGGCTGTCTTACCAACAAATTCACCGCCATAGCTTTTCTATCTGATTAATACTAAGAAAAAGAATGAGTGACCTCAGTGGGATATGGCCAACAGCCTGACAGGGTGTATCTGGGCTTGTCAAAGAATCCCAGCTGTGCAGGTCAGTCATTGCAACCCAAACCCCGGGACAGAAAAAGGAAAAGCTGCAACCTGTACGGCCCCGTGAACAGCACAGATCCTTCTGTAAGCCTCCGGGAGCAAACCTGTTGTTTAGAAGAAAGGAAATTCCAACCCCTCTAAGGCAAAACGCTAACACGTTCACTCTCTTGCTTCTGCTGTTGACAAGAGTTCACACTGAGACATTTTTGGTAAAATTATACTATGTTCGTGAGATATGATACCACTTCAATTGAATTATAGTTCTATTGTAAGGCTTCATTTCCTGTCACATAAAGCAGGATCTAACATCCAAGGCTTTTCGCAGGCTATTGCTAAGTACAAAATGCCTGCTGGGTTTTATTGCACAGATACCGAACTACCAGGGGCTGGATTATTGCTTTATAAAATCTTAGAGCAACCTTGAATATGAAAGATGTCATATAAATCTAAACAAAACCATTTTTCTCCCATTTCAGATGATCTGTGAAGATTCCATATTGAGATCTTTAGTCAGAGTCTGAAGAAGGAATGAGACTCTTTTGCCTCCCAAAATAAAGAGTGGATATAGTCCGAAAGGTCAGTCTACATTTATTACCTCGGCCCCAAATTCAGCTTCTCTCAGCATAGCCCCAGGTTTAGACTGCAGACTGACAAGGACTCCCGGTAATTGCCCTCCCCTGGCAGAAAGCATTCCTCTGGATGCAGATAGATGTGGGCAGAGGACTGATTTACAGCAGGGCAAAGACCCCAAGTGCTTTTCAGAAGGGCTGACAGCCCTGCTTAGAAGCAGCAGGAGGCTTCTTCATTATTTCTGTAGATGTTATAGCACTGCTGAATTGGCATTTTGTGAAGAAACCTGTCCTGTAGGCATAGAATCATAGAATCGCTTGGGTTGGAAAAGACCTTTGAGATCATCAAGTCCAACCGTTAACCTAACGAAGCCATCCCACCACTAAAACCTGTCCCTAAGCAAAGGCAGTTTGCTTTTGGAGAAACCTTCGTGGATTAGGGTATGGTAATGGAGCTTCTGCAACGCCTGCGTGTGCCCTGACAGGCAGAGTGAAGGTTGTGTTTAGAGATACCCAAACACGGGATCGCCTGTGCTGAGATTCTGGGCTTAGTCAACTTTTTTGGTTAAGCCCAGTGCTTATCATTGAGGATAAGCATTGGGGATGCTGGGGTCTCCTTGAGTGCTTCAGACTTACCAGAAAAACTGAAATACTAATTAATAAAAAGAGCAGGTTTCTACTTCTGTTTTAAGCATGGGGGTTAGACGCAAAGGCCATTAAAGCAGTCACTGGCAGTACAGACCTGCTCAGTGCAACGCAGCTTCCTCACCCATCTCACTGGGCTTCTCTTTGCTCTTAATTCAGGGCCTGGTTCTGCAGGTCCTACTGTGCCTGTGCAACTTAATTCTGGGACAGGAGCTCGGAAAAGCTCATTGTCAAAGTAACGCAGGTGAGAGTGGCCAATGGCTGGTTTTAGCTTCAATTTTGCAAATGTTGAGAACTGCCTATTTTTGATCTACATCGTTGTATGGCAAGCCGGATGTTTGCTTGCAGTGTGAATTCAGGCGCACACACACATACGTGTCTGTGATTGAGCTGAGGCTCGGTTAGCTCCCTTGGGAATTCATGTTCCATGCTACTTGCAAAATAAAATATTTTTCAATTTAGAAAGTTAAGCTCTCTGTTTGCTGTTCTATACTGGGAGCTCACTGCAGTAGGGCAGAAATCAGGATGGGAATGTGCTTTATCCATGTTTAGTTACTGTCATAACTTAATTTCTCTTTTTATGAATTCCCTTGGGTCCCTGAACTCTGAAGACAGATCTTTCCAATTCAAAAGGAGAGGAAAAAATCCCAGGCAGCCTGATGTGGATGACATGTCTTACTGATGCTATTAGCATGGGTGCTTTGGCTTTGCACGCTTGTGCTTTAGCTTTTCGAATTGCTGCCTGTGCGTCAAGCGTTTTTCTATCCAGGATTTGCATTTTGGACTCGTATTGCTCCTACAAGCATCCGCATCGCTGCTTCCTTACCTGGAGAGGGGTGCCATAGGGAAACTCCGCTTTCTCGCTGCTCTGGGTGGCCACGGTGGGGTTGCTGGAGCTGATGAGCACAGGGGAGCTGATCTCCAGCACCTGCCGCTCGGCGGGCGCGTGGACCATTCGGTTGAGGGTGTTCAGGGCAGTGGTGATGGAGAACTGCCGCAAGCTCTTCCGCCTGGAGTCGGGCACCTTCGGGAAAGCCGATGAATCCGTGCCCTTCGCTTTGGGAGACGCTGTTCGTAGGGACGCACACTTAAACTGAGGGGACCAGTGGCTTTTGCTGGTCTGCAGGAGTTGCCTTGCAGTGGTGTTTGGCTGGAAGAGACAAAGGGAGAGGCGATGGCACATTTCAGAAGTTATGCCTGGCACAGCTTGGTGACTGCTCAGTTTTTCCTTTTTCCCCTCTTTTCCCATTTGGCAGCAGAGCTGCGGGAAGATTTCAGATGACGTTACAGGCGATCTTTAAAAACGTGTGGCTTAGTCATTTCCCTGATATGTTTTCAGTGACAAATCCCGGATGCAAAATTACTGATGCAAAGCTGACGGCAAAATTAAAATTGGTTTGAAAAACTTGTTGCTTAGACAACACATTACTGAGGCTGAGTGCTCCCCACCCCCCCCACCCCAATACTTTACAGAAAGTTTTGTTTCTTGTCAAGGCCTTTGGCTTGTAGAGGTGTGAGGACAGCTGGCTGACTCTCTAGCAGCGTTATAAGAAATTTAACTCTAAATTAGAAGGGACGTTTGGGGCCATCTCCCTTTTTCACTTTGTGCTGGCACGCTTGGGTGTGTCTTGCAGCAGGACGTCAAATCCCTGCAGCCAACTTTAAGGCATGGGCTCGGAGAAGCCCTCACTGATGGTGGCTTTCTGAGCAGAATCAGATCCACCCAATTACCTCTCTGAAGGCCAAAACATTGATGGCTTGCTCCTGCTTCCATTGAAAAAAGCCTGGCTTTTTAACCATTGGGTTTAATGAGGGAAGAGCCAGGCCCTGAGTTTGCATACGAGCAATGTTCAAATAGTATTTCTTGGAAACTGCTGATCACACAGTATTAATAGCAAAGGGCATGTGGTGACAATGTTTTTTACCACGATGACTGCCAGAGGAATTAATCATGATTTACTGCTGACATTAATGAATTGCAAAACTTTGAGATTCTCACCCACTCATGTGAGGCAACGTGCCTGACTCCTGGGATGAACAAGGATGACTCTGACGCAGGAGGGGTACAGGTGTCTCTCAAGCATTATCATTTTAAAGCAGGGATTGTTTTCACGTTTCCCTCCTCCTCATTCCTTAAAGCAAGGTTTAAAAACCTTTTGTGTGTATACGTGCACATATAAGATGGCAATATTGTCATTTCTATATGTAATTAAACTTTAGCCTAAACAGGAAACATTTTTCTGCCTTCTCTAAACACCAGGGGATGCAATAAAATGGGGCACAAACCTAAGTGTCAAAGCCAAGAAAAGCCTTGAATCTCCCAAAGGAGACCTACCTTTGCCGTCTTCATAATTAATTTCTAATTCCTTCGTGGCTTTATGTGGCCCTAACTAACTTATTTCTGTTAACGCCAGACTTAAATAAGTAATTACTGAAGCTAAAATGATTTCATTAAATGAAAAGACATTTTACAAAATGTATTAGGGCTTCAAATAAGATGTTTTACTAGTGTCCTTTTTATAAAATAGCCACAAAGAGGTGTTTGCTGTAATTATGATGATTACAAGTATTACTTTTATTTCTAGGAATTCTTGTTGGTACCGTTTACACCCTGCATCTCAAGCGAACCTGCAGGAATACAATTAATGTCTAGACCAGTGCTAACAAAATACTGGCGGGGAGTGGGCAGCTTAAAGGTCTCTGGAGCCGCCTGCGACGCCGCTGAGCTGGCGCTGGCGGAGGCTGGGGCGGCAAAAAAAAAGGGGGGGGGGCGGGGGCGGGGGGGGCCCCCGTGGCCAGCCAGCCCCCCTGCAGCCCCAGGACAGATCCCCAGCAAACACAGCTACACACGAACCGATTACAACAGAACCCGTTAAAAATGCCGTTTTGATATTTTGCCTGAATGTTGTATTTTTGCCCCCAATTATTTTCCTTGTTGCTGAGGCTTCTTTCCAGCGAGGGAGAGGGAAAGCTGCTTGCTGTCTGTCTGCAGGGCTGAGAGGCAGTGGTGAGCTGGGCTGGGACAAGGGCTCTGCCCCCGGGTGCCGGCACGCGCCGCTGCCCGGCGTGGCGTTGGGTGGGCACGCATTGGGTGGGCACGGTGGAGAACGGGCTGTGCCCCCCTCTGTGCACACGGTGGGGAAGGTCCCTGCTTTGTCACTTAACCTGCCCTCTGTTCTCATCAGGTCAGCTGAGGACGGTGATGCTGTCACCCTGAAGGGCAGGAGCCGGGTGTCACCAGCCCTCTCTTGTGGGAGAGGTGGGTTGTAGCGTGAGGGTGGGCTCACCCTGTCATTTCAGAGAGCAGCCTCGTTAAACAGCTTTGGTGGTGCGGCCCTGTGAAGTCCTCTGGGACAGCTTCTGGTATGTACGTGTTCTGAAACGCCAGCTTGTCTGGCCTTACTCAGCACAATGCTCAAACTTGTTTTTAATTTAAAGGTGTGAGCTTGGCTGAATCGGGACTGTGGACACAAGTCTGACGGCGAGGACATGAAAAGCCTTTGACTTGCTGGATGGTTTCCATCACGTGGAAATGCCTCTGTAATTGCCACGCACACAACTAATATTGAAAATGGCATTTTAGCTACAAACCAAGTGAAAAACCCCTATGTAAGTGTTGAGGTAATTGGTGCCACGCTGCCGAGAAGCTCAGATCACTATTTCAGGAGCTGAAATAGGCTGACATTGCTGGGGTGCAGGTGTTTGAAATACTCCAGAGATGAAAAGGTAGTTTGTATTGACTGATAGCTACATCTCTTCGGAAAGACCTACATTTCTGAGCAACCCAGCAGAATTAAATCTTGTTAACTTTTAAGATGTTTTGATTTCATTGTTTTAAGGATATCTATCACGTGCATGGGGGGGGGAGAAGTAAGGAGAAGTTTATAGAAACAAATATATGTTTTTCTCTCTTCTGAACTAATGTGCAAAGTTTGAGGCTAAAATTTTAGTGACTGCGAGGCTGAAGGGGTCAGGGAAGGCTGCCACTGGCCAAAACCTTTACACCCATGCAGGGTAAGTGCATAAAGTTTCTATCTGAATTAGTGGAAATTTTGTATTAATCTTGCAGTAAGTGACTCTTAGCTTTCACTTGTGTGTCTGAACGTTATCTGATGGCTACTGCCTTGAAGAATAAGAAGAGATTGCTATGTGGTATTGCACTTGAATCTCTGCACAAATTTCCACGTGGGCTTGTTGCCAAATTACTGTGACCTTCTCCCGAGGGAGGGCAAGGACACGTGGAGGTGGGGTGAAGCTGAATGTGAAGCAGAAAGGTTGTGGTATCCCGTCCAGCCGCGAGAGCCGGTGAGGGAGAGAAGCTGCTTGCAAAGCCAGCTGCAGCGTGCGGCGCTCGCAGGCAGCCAGGGGGGTGTTGGTTGTTTGGAGGGGTTTTGTTTTTTGTTTTGTTTTTTTTATAGCCAGCTCATATTTTTTAACAAACTAGATCAAGCTGCCTGCAGCAGAGCTTTGGTCTAAAGCCAGGCTGCCCTGGGCAAATGCAACTCCTGTGTCATCTACCCAAGGCTCCAGCATCCCTTGTGTTGAGGTTCCCCTGCCTGCTAGGGCTCCTGGAGGAATAAATCATCTCTTTACAGCGGTTTGTGGAGAGATGGCACTCTCCAGTTACCTGCCTGGGCTGCCCAGTCCCCCCATCCTATGCTCAGTTGGAGGAGGACATGGCACTGGCACCGGCACTGCCTCGAGGTTACTGCAGAGGGGAGTTAATGAAGCGACCGCTCCAATCTTTGTCATTTTGTACGGTTACAACCGCCCGCTGTCACAAGGCTGGGGGACAGGAGGATGCTCTCGCCTATTTGCAGAAGCATCTGTTTGTTTTAGACGCGCGCTACCTCCCCATGTGTGAACTTTGCTGTGGGAGCAGAGATGAGCGCAGCCTCTTAACGCAAATAAACAGAATGAGTAAGCGGTGAAACAAAGGCAAATAGAGTGAAAGAGAAAAAAACAAACACAGACAGCAGAAAGCCGAGGAAGGCACCTCCTGCTAATAACCCTAACGAGAAAGGGAGGATTGCGGGCTGCCCAGCCTCTCTGCATTTGCACTAGCAAGCTGAAACCCCACATTTTATAGAGCTGATGTGTGATGCTGCTCTGAACTCTTTCAGTTCCTCCCTAGTCAGAAACCACAGCTGGCTCTTGGCTCTTTGATTTCTCTTGCCCCCTGCCAGCCACCCCACATCCAGCTCTGACTCCCTGGGGGCACCTGGCCTGGACCACAGCTGCTGCCTCCTGCCTCCTCTTCCCAGCCGTGAGAGCGAGGGGAGCATCGCATCTGTGCTGCCAGCTGGACGAAGAAAGAGGTGACTTCTCTGCGAGGACACCGATGCCTCGGGGCAGCGCTTTCTGTTCTGCTCTGCCATGCCTCACCTCATTTTGACACTACAGGGACAGTTGACTTTGCTGGGAGGTGCGGTTACTCAGAAGAGCATGTCCTCTAACAGAGTAAATGCAAGCTCTGTAGCCTTTGGGGAATAAAGGGAAACACAGTAAAAGTTCAGGTAAATTTGCTCTGCAAATGCGTGCCTCCAGTAGGCTGGGTATGTTCAACTTGCACAAATGATGTACCCCCGGACCTGGAGGCAATTTTCTTCACTGTCAGTAGCTGTCCTTTAGAGATCTCCTTGGAGTGTTTTGGTCCTGAGAGCAGCCTACCACCATCAGCTGCTCCTCCCTAACGGCAGCAGCACGGGTGAGGGATGGCAATTGCTGCTCATGGCGGGCACGTGCATCCCTCTCATCCCTCTCTGGATGCCCCTCATCCTGCACCGACCCACGTGTGTCTGCAGGGCAGTTGTGGGGGTTTAACTGCTGGCGGCAGTGGCTGAGAGGGCTTGGGAACCTTATTGATTTCCAAAAGGGAGGTCCTATGGAGTTGGGGAGTAGCAGAACACCATACAGTCTAAAGAAGAAAAGTGCCCAGCTGGTGTCACCTAGCCCCTGGTTGTGTTACCTTATGAAACGTCAGGCAGTCCTTGTTTTCAGCCTTATCCCTGCTCCTCAGGTCAACGCTGTAGAGTGCTCTGCCGAGGGGTTGTGGCAGGGGCAGGTGCTTGATGACTTGCACGGAGCTGGCTGGGAAAACACCGCTGATCCCGTTGACCTCCCCCAAATACCAGTTCTCATCCAGCTGTCGGAGCAGCATGATGATGTCCCCCTTATTGAACCTCAGCTCCCCGGGGTTGTGCCCTCGGTAGGTGTACAGAGCCTTGGCTCGTGGGACCTGTGGGACAAGAAACAGCCCTTGCAGTTCATCCATGACAGTAATGCTTAATATAAACAGAATGCCCCAAAAGCATTTGTAATTACTGGGAAAAATTTAGAGGTCTAAGGCTTAAGCATGCATTTATTGGGATTAACTACCCACATCCTTTCTTGATGCCTTTTTCTAATGAAGATGAGCTCCCAAATACTTATGCTAAATTTGTATCAAGATGAAAAGCAGGCTGAACTTGTTAAGAATATTAAGAAACAATAAATTCCTTAAGCTAGTCTTCTCATGGGATCTTATGGCCTGCTATACAGTCTCCTCTAATACAATGTCTATTTTAATGAACCCAGGTATTTCTATTTCAGAATGACCGGAGGTTGCAGCCGTTGTCCAGCTGACCTGGTGGCTGTCACCTGCAGTGGCCAACAGTGCACATCTGGGAGAACACAACAAGAGCAAGGTGAGCACAGGTTACTGCTCTCCTGTGGTTATCTCCCTGCTTTAACACTGTGTGACCATGATTTTATTTCAGTCTTTAATCTGGCTTACAGGAGGAGAGGCTTCTTAATGTTATTGTTGTTGCAGTATAGTATGAGAAAGAAGAGATATACCAAATCCAGAAGAGATGAGGGAACTTTACCATCCTGACTCTCATCAAAATGAAACTGCAAAGTTCACTTAAAATAACCGCTTTGCTGACCCTTATCTATATTAGAAAACTCAATCTGATACACAATGCAATAGATCATTTAGATCTGAATAAACCCAGAGCCATCCCTGGCCTTGGTGCTGTGAACCCACGCGGTACAACTTGAGGGCAGCCTGAGGGGTGTTTTTCTTGGGAGGAGTGCAGACACGCTGATGTTTTCTGCGCTCTCTGTAGCTGTTCTAGGCATGCATTTGGGGGGTCCCGTACACTGGAAATCAGCAATGCTGAAAGGCTCCATCTTTACATCCTTGTCTTAAAGACAAGATGAAGATACCTTCAGCACATTTGTTGGACTAGAGTACTGTGTCCCACACAAGTGCATCCCAGAACAAATAAGCAACCTGTGTTTGTCCATATTTATTGCCATTTGCAACATGACCGCTGTATGTGAAATGTAAAACGCTGAGTGTTAAGCTCTGTCTTTTGGCTGGAAATGAATGCTGCTCCTTTAACTTCTGGTCAGCCCTGAAGTGGTCAGGCAGTTGAACCAAATGATCATTGCAGATCCCTCCCAACTGAAATTATCCTCTTCTTCTCTTCCCCTTCTCTTCCCCTTCTCTTCCCCTTCTCTTCCCCTTCTCTTCCCCTTCTCTTCCCCTTCTCTTCCCCTTCTCTTCCCCTTCTCTTCCCCTTCTCTTCCCCTTCTCTTCCCCTTCTCTTCCCCTTCTCTTCCCCTTCTCTTCCCCTTCTCTTCCCCTTCTCTTCCCCTTCTCTTCCCCTTCTCTTCCCCTTCTCTTCCCCTTCTCTTCCCCTTCTCTTCCCCTTCTCTTCCCCTTCTCTTCCCCTTCTCTTCCCCTTCTCTTCCCCTTCTCTTCCCCTTCTCTTCCCCTTCTCTTCCCCTTCTCTTCCCCTTCTCTTCCCGTTCTCTTCCCC